GGCATTTTGCCATGTTGCACTCTTTTGTGGGATTGTCGGTGAAGCAAAGTTGTAGTTGCTAGAGAAAATGCCGACATTTCTCATTTTTCTTATTCTCGATAATCTACGCAATACGAACAATTGCACTATTGCCACCTTCAACCGTGTTGTGCAATATGGGAGCGAAAAGAATTGTTTATCATGTGTTTGTGTATTCTTTTGTCGGTTAGGAAAAAGGGATGCTGTGTTTATTGTCGGCACTCGTAGATCACAATGTTGCTTAGAATTTACTCGGGCTTTCTTGTTTTTTCGCTTTCCTGTATGCCTTCTTTCTCTCTTCATAGAAATTTATCTCCACGACTCACTGTCTTCTATTTTGAGTGGAAGTGTGTGTCTAAGAGATTGGAAGTTCGAGCCCTTCAGAAGACGACGATAGATTCCGAACGAAAAGTTTATTTATCGTCACACTTCGACATAAAAAACACTCTGTTTTTCTTGCCAACATATAGTACTTATCATCATAGCAATTTATGGGCCTTTTTTAACTTATATATATATTTTTTTTAATTATTAGCCCTGACATTGTTAGTTTCTTTCTTCAATATGTTTAGTTCTGCTTGTTGTTTGTGTGCTCGCAATGACTCTCACTAACTGTCGGTTCGCGGGACTAATAACGGGTTTTTGTCCTGACTGGCTGTCATGTCTCGTCTTCTTAGCAGTTATTTCAGCAACACATTTCTGGCCCTATTTACTCACTTTTATCTTTCACCCCATCCTTTTTCTGTATCGGTTGTCATTTATCTTAGTAATAACTAGACATTGGACTTGTAATTAAATGATCTTTGGATTCACAATTTCTGTCCGTGGTTTTGTAGCATCTCATTTGGTGTTATGCCCTTTTCAAGGCTCTCTCGACGGCTCCATCGGTTTTGAAGGGGACGGCAAGTGAACAAATCTGGACAAACTGGAACACCAACAAGAGCTGAAGTGCACCTCCACAGTGGGCCTCATACAACCTCTAAGTGATGCACTTGCATTTCTGTATACTTGCCTATAGCCGATGTGTTGCAGATATCGCAACCTTTACTGCATGCAAGGAGAAACCCTAACCGACAGATAGGTACCATGATCCCTAGTGTGGTCCTCTCCTTCAGAGGGTTGTTCACGTAGCCGAGTTTCAAGACACCATTCATTTTGTCCCATTTAATCGGCATTCTTAGCCAATGGGCGGAAGACTTCCGAGGAAATCTGGCTGAATGGCAGAAGAGATAGTGCCAAATTGCTGGCCAAGAAAGGGTACTTAGTTGGTACTGATCAGGAGTTTGGCGTCCTTCCCACATACAGACACGCCGGACAGCTCTCGAGAGTGACGGATGTCGCCTCAACACAATGATGGAGTGAAATGTCTGCTTGAAAGCATCAATGCTTACCGAGGGCGGAGAGGATGGCCGCGGACCAAAATATCTCTCCCAGAAGGGCCGGAAGGAAAAGCATCCCGCACATTCGCTCGCCAAACTTCTGCTGAAAGGGATCCAGCATCGTCACGTAGCCCTCAGAACGCATCCGGTTGGCGAAGAACATCCCACCTGAAGCAGTCAAAGGCGGCAGAACATAAACAACAGATTTGTTAAAAGTGAGCTTCCAAGTTATCAGTAGACCTTGAACGTGAGGAAGGAGAAACAGCTGCATTTCTCCAAAAAGAATATGATTAGCCCTCAGAATGACGCTAAATTCCATTCATTCTTGCCTTTCAGAATGTTTTCTGATCCAAACTGGGCTAAAGTTTCAACCTCGCCTGAACTGGTCTCATCAGCACCCCCAGCGAAACTCGAACCCAACTGGTGCAGCGTTAATCTCAACAAGGTACCACTGCACCACACATTAACCAGACGCGGATTTCAAGGAGGCTCAAGCTCTTTGCATTCAACAATTTTAAGAGTTAGAATGTCGCTGAAGCGAACGTATGCTGCAAGAACCGAATGAAGGACTGGCAGTTCAATTATTCCACAATTACATGAGTAGACCTTACGTTTTAATTGGGTTTCACACAGCCTTACCTTCCCAAAAGGTATTCTCATTCCGGCTGGAGTGGACTACAGGTTTGACCTCACATGGACAGGTCTCATCAGCACCCTCGGCGCGACTCAAAACATGACAGTGAAGTGTATAATCTCGACACGTTGGCCACAACGCTACACTGCCACGAGTTTCCTCGGGTGGAAGAGCAGGTGTCAATTTCAAAGAAGACCAGGCGTTTTTCCTTATCCCATTTTGTGGTGGGATTGTCGATAAAGCAAAGTTGTATTTGCTATGGCAATCGACTACATTACTTATTTATCGTTTATAAATAGCTTGTCGACCCCATTCAACTGCCAGTCCTTCATCACCTCAAGCGAACTAGCGCGGACAAACTCCTGTATCTGATGTACTGGCGAAAAATAAACAACGTGGCCGATTAATATGGCAACAGCAACTTTGCTTCACCGACAACTCCACCAGAGAAGCTAATATGGAAAAATGCCTGGCCTTCCTCGAAATTCACATCTGCCCTGTGAATCAGAAGCACTCGTGGCAATGTGAAGTAGTGTTTAACGTGTCATGGTTCGAGTCCCGTTGGGGGTGTTGATAATACCTAAGTGAGGTCGGAACTGCAGGATGGGAGTACCTTTTGATAAAGCAAGGCTATGTGAAATTCAATTGAGATGTGAGGCTTATCGTATGATTGTTGAGAAATTCAACTATCAGTCCTTTGTCACTTTAAACGAAAAAGGATTAATTAAGTCCTTAGTCGAGATTCACTTGTAGCCTATAAAACCTATTTAAAAACGATAACATGTGTTTTGCCATAGCAACCAACTATATTACTCATTACCGTCTAGCGTAGACTTCGAATATCATAAATCTTACATTAGATTTGCATTCACCCTAGGCTGTTTAAAATGCCACAGTCCAATATTATTTTTATACAGTTTCAATTGATTGTAACTCTTGTTGTAAAAGCAATATGTATTGTTAAAGCCAACAATAGCCTTATTTTTTCATGGCTTATTTCTGTCCGTACACAATGCCAGAGTAAATTATTTGCTTCTGATCACCAAAGCAATGGAGTCCGACTGACTCGTCTTCCATTGGCTCGTATTAGAACGTAGAAGTTTCTAACACTATCCTCCCGCGAAGTGATGAGCGCAGAATCTTCGTTAGTATCGGTCTGCTGCTCGATACGGAACGCGTCTCACTTCTACCCCCTGAGGGTAATTTAATCGCCTAGTAACAGCCAGTTTAGCCTAATCACATCTGGCCAAACGTGTTGTTGGTGAAGGCCATTATCGAGACGTCGGATGAAGGTTTTAGAGAAAAGTGATACAATATTTGCAAAAATCCTTCAAGGAAACACGAAAATGAGGACTTACCAACCACGAGACTGAGGGCGTAGCCGATCGGCGCCTGAGCCCAAATGAGACCTTGGTTTGGGTTGAAGACTACTTCGGCAGTCCCGTTGATGTAGCCGCCTCCCACCCAAGTGGCTGTGGAACAAGAGAAAAATGCCCAATTAGCAAAAGTCCATAGGTTACTCCATAAGCCTGATAAGTGTACCCTTCCAAGTTGTACTGATCCACGATGCAAGAAGTGTGTATTGTCATGGTTCGACTTTCGGTGCTGCCATTTCGACGGGCCTACAGGCAGATGCAACTATCTGGTCAAGTTTAGAGTTAAGTGAGCCGCGAAAGCGCTTACATGCTTGGCTGAATTGGGAGAGTTGCCTTCA